TAGGGGCGGCGGCGGCGCAGAGGAAACCGAGCAGCCGGCAGAGGTTGGGTGGTGCCGAGGGGGGGGGGTTCAAGCCTGCTGCACGCTCGGACGGTGGGTGCCGTGTGTTGGGCACGTTACGAGATCGTTTGTTGTTATTGTTGTTGTCTTGGCTATAAACACGGCTGACGGCTGTAGTCTCTGTTTGTATCGTTTGTGCGCTTTGCTTTTTTTTCATGACAATGCTATTGTACCCTGGCAGCTCTCACTAGTGTTTAGTGTAGGGGCGGGAGGCTTTCGTTGCACTTGTACTGTTTTGTAGAGAGTTTTTTCCGGGTATGCATGCCCCTGAACAAAGCGCAGACCGCCGAAAAAGACTCGTGGCTTACTGGGGGCCACACTCCCCCGCGGGTCGGCCCTCCCATTCCCTTCGACCCCAAGCGGAAACTTGCAGACAGCTGCGAGGTGTTTTGAGGTGGAGAAAGACTCGCCCGTTTTGTTTCAATCACGGAGACAAGCCGTTACCCGAACCCTATTGGAGGATCAAGATGTTTCGCTACGAGTTTGAGAGTGACTGAACAAGAACAGAAGGTTAGGTCCATTGCGTTTCGAGCTATATAGTTTTGCTTGGAACGGAGCGGACACCAACCACAGACGATGAGTCGGTGAGTACGCAGACGCCCCGCTAGCCCACCTAACCCCCCCTCCCCCAACCCCCCACGCACATCCACGACCGCGACTGCCCCCGATGATCGGAGCTGTCTCGACAAAAAGACGAAGGAGCGATCGTGTGCCTCAATAACATGTGTGCGGCATGCAATCAACGGCTTTTGACGACCAACACCCCCCCTCTAAACGTGTATCTCTAAACGTGTATCCAAATAGGCGGTGCCTCGAGGCAATCCCCGCCTTCCGGAGGGGGAGGTGGAAGAGCGTCAAGCCGCCGGCCGACCGGAAACAAAGCTCTGGAGAAGCAGGGTTTCGACCTCGCTGCCATACAGTCCATGTCCAGAGCGGCGGGGACGGGCAATAGCGGGGTGGGGGGCGCCGCAACTCCCGGACGCAAACGCCTCCTGGGGGGAGTGCGATTCTGGACCGGGTTGGAGGGGGTGACGAAGACGGCGCTGCTGCTGCTGCTGGGGGCGGGGGTGGGGGGGCTGCTGCTGCCTGAAGCGCGCGCGGCAGTGGCCCAAGCCAAGTTTGGTGAGAGGCGGGTTTCGTGAGGCCGTGTGTTAACGTTAATTTCTGTCATCTAAATTGAATACCTAAATTGGATGAACCAATTTGGGTTTTCGGCCAAGAAGGGCTTGCGTCGTTTTAACGCATTTTTGGAACACCGAAGTTGAGCAACACTCAAATGCGGCGGAATCGCTGCCGCGAGGTGACGTGGTGACCCAACCAGGTAGAACGATAGACCATGTGCACCACACGGGAGCTGTTAAATGTATATCAGCACACACACGAAGCTAAGCATCAGCAGATGGTGCCAGCGGTCCAAGCCTCATCCTCAGGCTTGCTCCACGACTGTTGTTTGGACTGTCTCGCTGCACACAACCGGCCGTTTCCTCTCGACATCGCACAAATTGGAAAGCAACTTCCCCAGCAACCCAACCAGTGCGAAAAGTTGGCACGCTCACAGATTCATTGCAAAACAGCTATCTCCCAGCAGCGGACAGTGGGAGATGCGTGTGGGTGCCGCACGGACAGTGTGCTACATGCAGTCCCGTCAGGGATAACGCCAGCGCGAGTTCAGCTCATCACGGGGGGTGCAAAAGGGGCGTAGTTCATTTCGGGTTCTTCGATTCAGCAAAAAGCTATTCAATTTGCAATTGTTTGCAATTGTTTTTTGCTGCACCCAATATCGAAGTCCCGCTTTTCCGGGCAGAGAACGCCTCATTGTGTGTTTTCCTGTTGACCAATCAGCGTCTTTGGCCCCCGGCACCCCCCCTAAACTTCTTTTTTGCAGGGCCTCAGTTCAGGTGCAAAATTTTAACGTTTAAACAGGCCCTGAGGGCGGGGTTGACTGTTGGGGGCTGACTGGGCTCTACGAGTGTAGGGTGACCGTGTCGGGTGTCAGCGATGTGGTTGACGTGGTGATCGTGATCGTGTTGTTTTCCTAGAGCCCCATCCGGCAACACCGGCATGTTCTTCTTTGCGTTATTCCGCGTCCTCTCTGCTATTTCGCGGTGTCGATTGCTGTGGCGGTGTTTTGAGCGCAACTGCAAGCCCCCCTCGGCAGCGTTGTGATATCATAACACACACACAAGAATCCAAAATCAAGGTACCTGTATCTACCGACGTCGAACAAACGTTTGTTGTTCAACGCCGACGTCTTATCCCCACCCACGCTGAGGTGTACCCGTGTCGCCTTTTTGCAGAGGCGGATCACATGCAGGGGTTCGCGGACTCGAGGTCGAGACTGGAATTTTTTTTGGCGGGAGACGGCGTTAGTGAAGGCCGCAAAGCCTTGGACGTGGGTTTCGACGCCGGCAGCACCGCCGCCGACGAATTCGGAGATGTCGTAGATGTCATAGACGCGGACTCCTCCTCCTCCTCCGGCTCCTTCGTGTCGGCGGAGAACACGGAAGACAGTGAGGAGGACGCTAAAGTGGACGATGTGGCAGAGAGGAGAGGGGACGAGGCCGTGTTGGCGGCGACGATGGGTGAAGAGGAAGCGGGCGATGGTAAGTTTCTCCCGTACCCCCCCCCCCCCCCCCCCCCCCCCCCCCCCCCCCCCCAGTCCCGTTGATGGTGTTCGGGCTGAGGTGTGGAGGGTATTTCGGTTCCTTAGGTCCGCTCTTGCTGGCTACGTACGTGTCTGGCCGAGAATGGAGAGAAACCGTCGTTCCGGACACACTGCAAACTCACAGCCTGCCCCCAAGACGGGGCTGTTCGTCTCCCCCACCCCCGGCCAACACCATGTGGCGAAAGTGTCGCACAAGAGTGTGTCCGGGTGGATTTGGCCGTGTGTTTTGTTCATCGTGATCACTGGTAGAACCCGTGTTCCGTCTCGAAAGGAGAAAGGAGCGCATGGCCAAGGGTATTACGACGGCGGCACCACCGACCTCCCACTTACAGAAGGGTGTTTACATTACCATGCTATTAGCTGCCCTTCTGCGAGCGTGGATGGCCAAAACCCGTCTTGCTTCTTCCCTGCCGTCTAGATGAGGGCACGCTGTCTATGGCCGAAAGCATGTGGCGTGTCCCAATCTTTCCCTCGATACCGCAGCCAGCATACCCCCGAACCCCCCCCCCCCCTCCCTGCGCCCGTGTGCTCTAGACGGATTGCTATCGGAGGCGACCGACTGGTTCTTGAATTTCGTGGACTTGGTTGTGGGGTGGGCGCACTACCTGTCGGCCGTGAGCATGCCGTGGAGAGGCGGGGTGGGCGAGATCTCGTGCGTGTCGGCTATTCACCTGGCGTTATTCGTGAGGCTGGTCGTGGCGGTGGCGTTCTCTGGAGTGAGGGTCGTGCTCGGCCTTCCGGTGAGCATTTTTTTTTTTTGCTCCGTCAAGGACTTGACCGTGTGACCTTTTTCTTTCTCTCTTCGGTGCGGTGCGATGGGGTCACGTAGGCGTTAGCGCCATTACCTGGATGAGCAACAACGCCAGCAGCTTCAGCGTTCGGTTGGGGTGGTGTCGCCCCTGTCTTAGTGAGTGGTGTCGTTATTATTTATCCTACTCTACTCTGATTGTGTGCATGAACAGCACGAATCCATCAATACGTTGCCCGTCTTGACTGCTGTTGTCGATCTTGACCGTTGGTGGGGATTCGCACCACAATACGCGTCTCGCGGAGGCCGTTCTTCCGCCCTCAATCACGAGATGAGACGATTTCTTGTCGGCTATTGGATGCCGATGCTGCCGGGTTGTTTGCCACGTGGCTGGCTCCCTCTCTCCCTTCGAGCAGGCGTTCCCTGCAGCTCAATCGACAAGCAAGCCCGGAATGGTGATGGGCATGGTCCTGGCCACGGTCCCCACCTTGGGCAAGGTGCTAGGTGAGAGCATGTGTCCCGCCGTACCTTAGATTGCTCTGGACGGTGCCCCCCTCCCCCCCCCGAAGGCGAACCGTTACTCCCTAGCCTTGGCGGGAGCACCTAGTTTTCGCCCGATTGTGGACGTACGTCCCGAATAAGGGGGGGTGCCGGATATGCATGACGGAAACTACGACGAATGCCCTTGGGTGGACTAACTGACCGTCTAGGCACGACGTATGTGTCGAACAGGGCGACGGGCGCTGTAGAAGTCGTGTCAGGAGGGTATTGTTTCCGCTGACGAGTAACCTCTCAGTCTTGACGGCGATGTCGAAAGTAGCACATACGTACGCGTACCGAGCTCCCAGTCGGGGTGTCATCATGGTACATTATCGAAGATTACCCTGAAAACGCCTGTTACGTCGTATTTGGGATATTGCGACGGCCTGACGTCGATAAGAACAGCCACCAATCATGTTTGTATGATACAATTTGTAGACATGGTGAACCGATAACCCGCGTGTGTATGTGCTCTCGTTCGTGGCGGATCTTTTCAGTTGCAAAACCCATGGTCCGTGTTGCCATCGATCAATGGTGTTGGTAGCGTTGATAGTCGTTGTCTCGTGCCGTGGTCCCTGTTTATCCTGCATCATGTCGCGCCATGTACACATAGGGGACAAGCAGACACGCAGGTAGCCGGAAAGGACAGCCAGCATTTGTTTGCAAGCGCTTGTCGAGCAACGGCGACAAATAACCAATGCGCCAACCCCCCCTCGGCTTCATCGCCATCGCACCCCTGAACCTACCCCACCCGCCGCCGTCATTGGTGTTTATCAGCGTGGGGGAACGTAGTCAAGTCCATCTTCTCCGACACCAATCTGGTGGTAGCCGGCACCGTGTTGACGCTGGCCCTGAACCTAGCATTCGAGGAGGGCGCGGGGCCCCGCAGGCTGGCGGGGAGCATATCGGGCGCGCTCGGTCTTTTCTCCCCCTCGTTCCAGGGGTCGGAAGAAGGAGACTACTCCACCGGCGGCGGCGGCGGCGGCTTGAAAGAGCTGTGATACTCTCGTTGCTCGTGCGCTTTGTTGGTCTGAGCTCAGGGACACCTGGCGCAAGTTGTAGTAGTCACAACATTATTTTTGGTGGACTTTGTACGTGTTCCCATCCTGTGTCCGTTGTGACTATTCTTTTTTCTGTAGGGGTGTCTCCTTGATTTCGAGAGGGCAAGGGCAAGACGAAGGCGGCAGGTACACCGGTCATAAGTGGCTATCAAACAACGGAAGTAATGTCGTTGACACCGCTTTTTATGCCTCCATGATGCATCGTTTGTTTTTCTGCGCAAGGGCGCACGACGTTCTGTGAACCGTTTCTCTTGTCTGTTGCATCTTGTCTGTCATGTTTTTTGTTTCTTGAGTATTGTAGCCGCTGAAAGTTGCGCACGGTGATTGCCGGCTGCGGCGTTCGTTGTTTGCATGATGGCGAGAGGAAGAACGGAAAGCTGTAGGCTGTGCAATGGGGGGCGGCGGCAGCGGCACTCGGCGATGCCTGAAGAGTGGCGATATGTAACGTCATCCATCATCGGAGAGATCAGTACATGTTCAGCTTTGATCAGACAACCGTGTCGGAGTAATCTCGATGTAGACGCCATGCAGACGCCGTTGTTTTTGCGGGTTCTGGTCGGACACAACCTCCGTCGTTTTGGCCACAGGGCACATCACCATTGTACTTCGTAATTTGGAGCACTAAAGTACACTCGTGTGTGGGGATTGCGCGAACGAATCTGGTTGTACTGGTGTTTCGTGTTTCTTTCCTGTTGTTTGTTTCAAACAACTCCCTCTGTATGGACACGACGGTTCGCTTGCTTTTCGCTGGTGTGTTTAAGTCGGGTTGACGGGGCAGAGGTTGGTTTAGGAAAGGGGGGAATACTTCGCGATTGCCGCCTAACACAGCAGCAGCAGCAGTGCCGGGTTCGAACCAGCCAGCAACATAAAAAAGAGTAGAAACGCTCCATCCAGCGTTTTCATTTTGTGTCCTTGTCTCATTTGTCTCCTGCGGTAGTACCGGAGCCGGTGGCGTGTGCGTCAGGTGCTCACCGTCTTATTTTTGTGGCCGTGGTCGCCTGAAGTTCATTATTTTGCTCAGCAGCTCGCTCTCGCCGGCGCCATTGCGACAATAGTTGTCTCTATTCGGGTTCTTTGCTCGCCCCCCTCCCGCTCGTGTTGTGGTGATGTTGCGGTGGAGCGACGAGGGGGGAGGGTGAAAGGCCTCAGAGCTTCTCCTTTCCATCCCCGCGTAAATCCACAAGTTTTAGTCTAACACATCTTTTGATCTATGTTCTTCGCTGTTCGTATCGGTGCGTTCATGTAGAATACTGCTTTTAAGTAAAGACTATGTTTTTTCGTTCGAGTGGTTGGTGCACAAGACGTACAAATGTCAATCCAACCAACTGACTCGACCACCCCCCCGCTCCGGTATATTGACAGGCTAATAGACTAATTGATGATACGATGGGCGCTGATTGTTGGCAACCTCTTTCTGTCACCATGTACGTGCACAACCGTCAGCTGCCGCGCCTTTATTTAGTTGTCTCAGGGTTTGTTTACGATTGACTGATCGACTTCGAAAGCGTTACTACGGTACGTTGTAATATTTTTCTTTCTTTCTCTGATGCTCGCTCGCGGCCCGCCTGAACAACGCTCGCAACGACACACGCACCCACACGTTCACTCGCGATTCTACAAGTATCATATGCAAGGTTTGTGTCGAACACATTCCACGAAAGCACACAACCCGGTATTATTGTTCTCATATCATTACGTCGGCAGACGTACAACGAGTCTCAACTTATTATTGATCTCCAGGGTTGTCGCCGGTCTCCCCGTGGTGCATTAACGTGGTACAATATTTCTTCGTCATCACGAGGATGAGGATAACTTGCTCGCTCGCCCAAAGGGTTGAGCTCATTATCATGTGCCCATACAGGTAGCGATCAATACGATGCCGAAACGGATTCAAGAATTTTTCTTAATAAGAAGAGAAGAGATTTGTTGTCCCATCGCCTGTGGGTCTTATCCATCCATCCGTCAATGTAGACTATGTAGGCATACAAAGCAACCGTCGTAAATATGAACGTTGGGGTTCGTTTGTTCCTGTGTGGGAGGATGTCATTGCAGCGGGGAGTCAAGATGGGTGGAGAGGGGAGCAGCTTTTTCTTGCTGACGTGTGCGCGCAGGGATCGGCACTATTAATAGGGCATCATCGTAATAAACATGAGTCGCTTAAGACCGCCGCCGTGCTGCTGGAAAGAGAGTCAACCATTACGCCCCCGCTCGCTTCGAAAAAGTCGAAATATACGATTAAGAAGATTTGTTTGTTTCCTGTCTCTGTGTGTGCTGTGCCCGGTTGCACCCGTCTCTCTCTCTGTCTATCTCGTTCTCTCCGTTCTCTCTCTTGGGAACAGAAGGCGCGGTCGCAAGCTGTCTCTATTACCTCCCGCTGGAGTAATTTTGTATGCCGCGAGCTATTTTATAGTGCTGGAAAATATGTACAGCAGTAACGTTAAATACATCGTTCGACTTTCCGAGAACAATTTACCAGTAGAAGACGAGTCTGCGACCTTCGGAGACGCCAGTTTTTTTTTTTTCCGAAGCGCGCGCGCGGTCGATGCTCAAGACACACACACGCACCAACAACAATCCACGCCCCCCTTGACTCCGAGTAGACAGCAGCAGAGCATACCGCAGAAGCCTCAACCCCACCCGGCCCGAGCAGTGCGGCACGAGGAAGAGGAGCGCGGAAGGAGTTCGCCGAGTGCGCGCGGGGCAGCACAGCACAAGACAACCCACGCGAGGAGCGACGGCAGAGGAGAGAGAGAGGAGAGAGAGAGATCGAAAACAGAGCTAGCTCTCCCATAGCAAGATGGCAGGAGACGCCAGTCTTGGCATCACCCCGGTCATGAAGTGGAACTTCGAACGCAGCTGGTGAGTGTCTCACCGAGTGTATTGAGCGTGCCGGCTGCCGCCCGGGCGGCTCTCGGTAAAGCCGGCGGTAGCAGCAGCTGCGGTGATAAACGAGTGTCTTTTTCAATCCCAAGCCGATCGGCGGCAAGACTTCTGCTGGTATACGTTTGCGGCTCTTGCCTGTATCCGCTGGGATGTTAGGTATTGCTGTCACCGAGCCGGCAATTCCTTGCTGCGCGCCGTGGACCTGGCGAATGCCCACGTGGACAGAGAGAGAGAAGGAGAGAGGGAAGGTCTACTTGTATCCCAGCCCCCGTCGAGCCCGCGCCGCGCCTCAGGCCGGTGGTGTTGATTGAGGTTTGTGTGCTGGGACCGAAAGGGGAGATCGGTGATGCTGCATGGAAATGATCCACACGGTCTTTCCACAGGCCATATATATATTTGGCATTTTGAGCAACTGCCGCATTTTTCCCTATGCGCTGATTTACCCGGCTACCGGACCAGCTCGCTCTCGAGCTTTCGGCCTAGACCCGCCCCCCCCCCCCCCCCCCCCCCCCCCCCCCCCCCCCCCCCCCCCCCCCCCCCNCCCCCGCCCCCCCCCACGGGCGAGAGCGCCGGTAACGTCTAGAAGGCGGCGGTGACCGATAAGCTAGCGGGCCGAGGCCCTGTGGGGGGCGGGGGCAGCAGTGTCCTCGTGGACCTTGTGCGTTTGTCTCTCCCTCCAGCTCGAGCTTGTGCGCACAATAATACACGATGTGATATGTGGAAACACGGCTTTTTTGGGTTTGCGCGCCGTGGTGTCTCCGGGCGAAGAAGACAGAGCGTGTAATGTTTGTTTTATTCCTTCCCTTCCCTGCAGAACCTACCTACCCCCCCCACCCCCCTCAAAGAGCTGCTATTATCTATTCCGGAATGCCCGACGGCTCGGTGCCCGGCCCCGGCATCGTCGCTCTCTGCCCAAGTGACGACGAAAGGGGCGGCTGATGTTTTTTTTGGCATCTTGTGTTGGGGACACAAGATATAAAGATCTATGTAGGTGTGACAATTGGAAAATCTGACGTTTTCAGGGTGGTCGTGCTTCTTCTCTCTCGGGCATATTTTTCCGCGTGGGCAGGCAGCTTGTCCAACTAACTGCCTTCTGTTGGTGATGAAGCTAGTAGTAATGTCCACCCCACGAAAGTACCTCCGCGCAGCAAAAAAAAAACGTGCCATGCGCTCAGCTCCCCCCCTCTACTCTTTGGTGTTGCTGCTGTTGAGCGAGCGTCACACATCCGTTGTCATCACCGAAGCCAACATTGCCACGCGGCGAGCAAGCAATAGCCACGGACGCTTGCCGTACACACTACACAGAGGAGAGATATGACGATCTCCGTCACATAGTAGTTGTGGTGTATCCATATATTCTCTGCTTTGTCAACCCATGACGTACGTGTCCGATTCATATATTTTATTCGTTCATTACATGCCAGACCAATGCTGCTGCTTCTGCAGCCCACTGCTTTCTGAAGCCAATGATGAGCTGTTTGTTTAACCGTGACCGAGGTCTCCTCTGCTTTTGTTCACCCCTGCCCGCAGAACCTCAACACCAAAACAAAGCAGCGTCCCATGATACATTCCACCATCACCCATGCGCCACTCAGCGCAGGAGGCTGTATGAGCGCACTCTGCAGAGGGAGGGAATCAACAACAGCGAAGCCTTTCTGTTTTCACTGGTCCGCCGCAGTTCGTTTTGGTCCACTGATGCGGCTGCAAAATTGTGACGGACCTCTTGGGCCTCTTTTGTTTTGCGGAAAGCGGCGCAAGAGCAAACAGCAGAAATGTTGTACGATTGATTGAACCCACAGGAAGCCGCGCTCAACGGTACATAGCCATGATTGTCCGCATCGGGCGGCAACTAGGTTTGCTCGGAAGTTGAGCGTCACGACCCAACCTGGCAACAATGTGTGGGGGATTGATTCATTTCATGCGCGAACCAGAGGCAGTCCGCAGCAGTCGGAAACGTTTTTGTTATCCAAGTATTTATTATCCGAAGTTGTGGATGTGGAATTTCACTGCGCTTTACCCTCGTCGTGTCTGTCCTTGTTTTCTGTATTGCTGGGTGCGCGGATGAACTTTTGTCATGCTGTTGCAACGGTCCAATTGCTGCAGCTGTTTCTCCTTTGGCAACAGAGAAAGCGAGCCAACCGGCGTATCCGCATCTACCTTAGTATGACTTTAGGTGCCCTGCAGAACACCTCGGCTTCTTTTTTGGCTGGTCGTGCACCCTCCCAAATTGCGTGTACTGTTCCATGTACACGTGGAATGGCGGCCAAGCTGTGTTCATGTGGATCAGTTGCTGCGAACATGATTCCCGCCAACAAGTGATTTCTTGACAAATTGCACGGCGGCGGGCAAGGGCGGATTTCTCCTGTTGAACCTACAGAGTGTGGTGAAGATCTTCGGCTCTTCTGCTCTCGGTAACAACTACGAAGATAGATGTAAGATTGTGGCGTGCAAGCACCTGGCCACGTACAGCAACACAGCCTAATAGGATTACGGCGCAAGACAAGTACCCGACACCCGTTAGAGCGGGTGTCCCAACCTTCTCATAAGGCACACACGCGCGTATTCTAATTCTAGCATGTGGTAATAGTTGTGGTTGTTTGCCGTTTCCTCTTGCCTTCCCTTGATAAACGACCACCCCCCTTCAATTTCCACATTTCCACAGGATGCGTTTGTTCTGAAACATTGCTGCATCCTCCGCTCTCCGGTCTCCGCCAACCCCTGTCGTTATTTTGTTACATGAGAGATCCGACCCATCTCTCCTTGGTCGTACTGCCGTACGTACCTTCTCGTACGTAGACTACCAGCCCAACTGGCACGGACGCGCTGCCGACGCTAAATTATCCTAATACCAGAGACGGTTGGCCATGCATCTTTTTCGAAAATTCAACGGGAACCAAAAGGCTTGTTTTAGACACCGCTGAAAAAAACGATGAGCACTTGAGCGCTTGCCAACACCAGTGCTGTGCGTTACGTTCAAACTCGGACTTGGCACGTGGTGATGTATATGCCGTCCCGGTTACAAGCGTGGAGTCTACAAGGGAGGTTGGGATTGTTGTGCAGCGGTAGAACAGTCAGTTTTAGGGGGTATTTCGACATACACACGGACAGAGCTTTCTACCGTTCCTACTCGAGAAGCGAGTAATATAACCACCAATGCAAGGGAGAAAACACAGGCGCTTTTTTATCGCTGGCCCCTTTGGGCTGCGTGATCGCCATGTTTGCACGGCTGCTGCGACGCCATTCCAGAAAATCGCCGCCGTCCATTGATCAGTTTCCAACGTATCGCGAACACGTTGCCCATATTTTGTTCCTCCTGCGATGCGATGAGATGAGATTTCCATGGGAGATAGATGATAGATCCCTCTCGCGCCCGGGAACGATATGTCACTACTGCCGCTG